ACCTGGTTTGAACCCGATTTTGACCTCCTTTTTTTATTTTTTTTTTATTGAAACAAATTGCTTAGACTTAAATAGACACATATGCTAATAATCTTCCGCCCATGAGCCCTCTCTATGCTTCAATATTCCTTAGTTCCTCCTTCAAAGACTTTCACCACTTTCGACAACATTCCTTTCTCCTTCGACAACATTCACCTCCTTCGATGACATTCCTTCCTCCTTCGATGACGTTCACCTCCTTCGACGTCATTCCTTCCTCCTTTGTCGACGATGTTCACCTCCTTTGATGACATTCCTTCGACGATGTTTGACGATGTTTTTTCTTCTCAGGTCGACGACGTTCACCTCCCATTCCCGACATGACGGATAACCGTGGTTTCATGTCGGGTAGGGTCAGGTCAACCCAAAACCCTAACGGGTCTAGTCCTGGATGAAATTTTTGATTCGTTTGCAAATATGATCGAGTTCGGGTCATGTAAAATAATGATGGATCAATCTCAAGTTTGACTCGAACTCGACCCGTAACCCAATTTTGATACCCCTACCGAAAATAATCAAATGATGTTTCAAGAATCAAACAAACAATACTTAATTAGGAATTTGAGATGATTGATATTGGGCTCATGACCTATTACTTGGACATTGAAGTCCATCAAATAGAATATGTAATATTTATCTTATAAGAAAGCTATGCAAAGGAGATACTAAAGAAGTTCAAGATAGATAATTGTAAACCTTTAAATACACCCATTGAATATGGAGTCAGGTTATCAAAGCATGATGAAGGAGAAAGAGTTGATCCTAAATTTTTCAAGAGCCTAGTTAGGATTTTGCTCTACTTAACATTCATGAGGCTTGATATTCTCTATGTTGTCGGATTTATCAGTGCTATATGGAGACTTCAATCATGAGACACTTAAATACTGCTAAAAGAATCCAAGGTTATATCAAAGGTATAATTTACTTTGGCTTACTCTACTCCTCATCTAACAATTTTAGACTTGTAGGATATAGAGACAACGATTGGGCTGGTGTCATGGATGATAAAAAGAGAACCACTAGTTATGTGTTATTCATGTGAGATTCGGCTTTCACCTAGATATCAAAGAAACAACTAATTATCACTCTATCTACTTGTGAAGTAGAGTACGTAACTAAAACTTATTGTGTTTGTCATGCAATTTTGCTTTAAAACCTATTAAAAGAATTAAGCTTACCTCAAAAAAGAAGCTACAAAGATTCATATTGATAATATGTCCACAATAGCATTAGCAAAAAATCAAGTTTTTCATGATAAAAGCAAACACATTGATACACACTGTCACTAATCAAAGAATCCATTATGAGGAAAGAAGTGTAAGCGGAATATGTAAAGTCACAAGACCAAATTGCTGACATCTTCACGAAGCCAATTAATTATGAATACTATATCAAGATGAGAAATTTGCTTGAAGTTACAAAATTAAGTTTTAGGGGGTGAGGATGTTAAATATTAAACTTAATTTTACCCATTATTATTTGGGCTTTTTAATGAAGCTCATAATATAGAGTAATTTATTTAAGAAGACTCTAGAAATCTATTATAGAATTATTATTAGAAAAATCTAGAATAGACATTTAATGTCATTTATGATAGAAGATATTATAATACTCTAAAGACTCATTTGTAACCATTAGATTGAAATATGTTGGCACAATTCTAATGATGTACTATTAGAATAAATAGTGGCTCCCAAAAAAAATCTTTCTCCTTTTTTCCTCTTTAATTTTCTCTTGTTCCAAAAGTCTTTTTTCATTCCAACAAACTTTTTACTTCCCAACTATAATCGTGAATTGATTGGAAGATGCGAAGTATTTGAACACGTGGATCCAGCAGTGGCTCACTGGTGGACGGAAAAATCCCGCCCTGCCTAATCCGTGTTCGATACTCTCAACATCTCCCAAAAACAAAACAAAAAAACTAAAAAAACAAACAAACAAAAACAAAACAAAACAAAAAAATAATGTATTTGTACATAGAGAAAGGAATATACCACTCCAATACTGTTATTCTTTGCTCTCATTTCCACCTCGCTGCTATCAACTTTATAAATATACCACGTAACCTTTGCAAGACTTTCCATCAGTGACATAAGAAACTTCATTTGGTATCCAACTTATGGGGCAGGGTTAGGTATAGCATATTTCCCTTTCAATTGCCTCTTCACTTTTCTGCATTTCGCTAACAATCATAACCAAAACCCACTTTTAATCAAGCTCTTCTTCTTCTTCTGCCCCTTAAAACCCTTAACAATGGCATCTCTAAAACCTCAATCAACCACCAATACGAAGCTCGATCCTATCTATGCCTGACACGATTAATTCTCATTCGTGGGTGCCATTCAGAAACGGTGCAAAGCTAATTTCGGGCTTTTGCAGTCAATCGCTTGCAGGAAAAGCTAGTTAGATATCAACCTCACCTGCTCATTAGAAAAAATAAGGCTTGGGTTCCTTTAGAATCTGGTTTTTGTAAGCTGTTGCTTCAATGAGTTTATATTTATTTTCATCTTCAGATATTTTGAATTGATTGCCATTTGTTTTGTCATCTATTTGGACATTTCCTATAATTGCTTCGGGCCCTGCCCTGTCAATATTTTACAAGACAGATTAGGGTCAACTATCTGATTGCTTTGGCTAAATAGCTAGGCATGTTTCATGTCCACCATTAATTCGATCGAGGGCAATCATTGTGCAAAGACTAGCTAGCTTCATTGGAGACAAGCTTGGCCAAGCAATTGAAAGTTAACCCTTGCATATACTCTTCTTGCTTTGAATTAATAAAATCATCTAATTATGATGCTTTGATATTTTATAATATATCAAAATAAAAAAACTATATACAATAACAACAAGTCTTTGTCTCACTACGTGGGATCGGTTACATGAACCATTTTTCTCCATTGTGTTCAATTAAAAGTAACACAATATTTTAAAGGATTTATGTTATGATTATTTGACAAATTTTACGCTGGTTGTCGACTATCTAACACAGCCCTTCATTTTTCTCATACAGGACTTAGGACCTAACAATAATAGCATATATATATATATATAGCTTTTCCTTTCATTTTCTTGAGCAAATTCCAACCAAACAAACCCATGTTTGGATAAGTAGCTTTTTTTTTATAAATTTAAATGAGAAAGCGTGCCTTATAACTTTAAAGTTGGAAGATTCCTCAAGAAAGCAGCATCCCTACAAAAGCTTGTTGTTGAAGCCACTAAAATTATTCTAATTGCTAACATTTGCATGAGAGAAAAAAAAGTCTCCTGCCTATGATTTTGACTTAACAATAGGTGAAAGCATGAAAAATAACAAATCAAAACGCAAAGGAATCCTATTTATTCAAATACTAATTATTGATGCAGGAATAGAGGTTTTGTTCTTCTATGTTAGGAAATTACTGTCATGGAAGCTTAAATATCTAATAAATGATATACATATTTTTTATGCCAGCCAATTTAGTCTATAAAAATTTTATAAGTTTTTATTAAGATTTTGAGATTAAATCTTCGTTTGATGGTAAAGCTGTTCTGGTGAAAGTAACTTTTTTAAAGCTGTTGTATAAAGTAATTTTCTAGCACAAAAATTCTTGGAAGAAATGAAAAAGCATTGACTAAATAGAAATTGAGACTGTGGTATAAAAAATAAAACAGTAATAAAACTGCCCCAAATAAAGCCTAAATCGGTCTAGACTCGTGCTTCGAAATTCAAACATATATATATTTTTTTTCTTACAAAAGTATGTCATAAATAAATCATCTCTAGTTTTTTGTTTAATTAATTAAATTTGTTATCCAATCCTATCTTAAAAGCTTGAGTTAATATAATAAAAATCGCTGCTCTCTGATAATGACGATACTAATCATGACATAATACTAAAATTTACAACATCAACAACAGACATTATCATTGGCCAATCGATTAGGGTTGTTTTATTTATATTGTAGCAGTTGATTTAGCTTCATTTATTATAACTAATAATGAATAATATAAGAAGATTGCAATCTGATACCACAGCAATAATATATTAGATTTTATTTAGGATAATTTTCTTTCTGCTTTTTAAATCAGCTTCTCAACACAAAAAAACTTAGAACTAAAATTTTTTTATTAAAAAATCGCTTTAAAAAATAATAAAAAAGTTATCTCAATTACTATAACAGAGTAGGAAAAGGAAAACATAGGCTTAGTTTGTAACGACTTTCTTACTATTTTGTAAAGCAATTTTTTAGTACAACAAATAATTTTATACTAAAAAATTGTTTTACCAAAGCCTTAATAAACTATATATTAAAAGCCATGTACGTATACATTGAAGTATATAAGCATGCATGCTTCTACGTATACATTAAACTAAAGGAGCCACGTAACTTATGTATATGAAGCCACGTAACTTACATAAATACCATGCACTAAACTCATTGAAAAAAAAAAAAAAGTTATGCCAAAAAAAAAAAAGTATCATTAGAACCAAATAGCTATTCTAATTTTATTTTAAACAGCTATTCTAATTTTACTTTTTTACCCACTATTGCTTAGTACGTATGGTTGGAAATTCTTAATCTGTGTTGAATTCTCCTCAAGCCACAGCTCCTCATAAGTGGGGCCCAATTCAAGTGCTGGCTAGGAGGTTTCTGGAGTGGGTATCTCTTATAGGTCAGACGAGGATTAGTCATGCCGCCAAGCACCCTTTCGGGGGTGGCAGCGGGTGGATACTCTATTCCAAAAAAAAATTAAGAAAAATAAATTTTTTATATTTATTTTAATTTATGATTAAAAACATTTTTTAATTTATATATACTACTTTGCAAATAATTATCTGAAATTTTTATTTGATCAATTATTAAGTTGTCCTAATGCACTGATATGTTAGGAGCTTATATTATAATTTTGTTAAGCACTGATGGCTCTCCGACAAATGCACCACAGCTTTAGTAACATAACCACCACACGAAGTTTCTGTTCAGCACACAACTCTGTAGTAGCAAATAGTTTCAAACAAAGTAATCACATGAAGAAAATAAGAAGAAAAAATTCCTTCGGGAAGCAAAAGAAGAACGGGGAAAGATCAAATATCATTAGATTTGTATTGGGTTAATAGATTATTTGTTCCAATACATATCCAATGATATTTTATCTCACCTCATCTTTTTTTAGCTCACTATACCCTCAGAATTCCCAAAAAAAAAAACAGAAAAGATGTAAATATCAAACAAACTCAGCCATGAATGGATCATCAAGCAAGAGATCAGGCCAGAATGAAGCTGCTGCGCTTCCTCCACAGCTTGAAGTGCTACAAGCATCTCCTGGATTGGACATATCGGTCAGAGGAGGCAGAACTGATACTGGAGTGCTGATTTCTCCCTGTGTAAACAAACTAAAGCTGGAGTTCTCATTGCTCATCAGAGGCTGTTCATAGCTTAAAGGAACTTGATCAATCTCTGTGCTGTGGGTATTAAAGAGTGGTTGATTATTGTTCATGGAATCAAAGGAAGAAGGGAAGGACTGATGATCTGTACTGTTCAGGAGATTGTTTATGGAGTTATCGGCTGAAGGTGGAGTAGCAGAGTGGAGGATATATTGAAGGCACTGTAACTTTGCTGCTTCAGCGCTTAGGCCATCCACGAGCCAGGTAGAGGGGCGGTGGTCGACAAGATTGGCGAGGGCGAGGAGATGAGGAAGGGCGGCGAAGAAGTCAGTTCGAGGGCGGTGTGTCATTGGATCAAATCCCATTTGTATGAGTTTTTTCTTCAAGTGGGTGTTCCAAAAGTTTTTTATCTCATTGTCTGTTCTTCCTGGTAAATGTGTAGCAATGGCAGACCATCTGAAAGAAAAAGAGAAATTAATGAACACAAAATTAATTTTGAAGGATTTAAAAAAAAGTCATTGAAAGAGATAGATTCTTGATAAAAAAGTCAAAGGGAACGTGCATCTAATTTATTTTTTTATAAAATAATATGAGGAATAAGAATAGAACCCATGATCTTATGATTGAGAGATAATGGCCAATTTATTTCCTCTCTGTAAAATGTGACAAAAGAAGAAGGATTTAGGGATAGAAGTTGATTAAATACTTGTTTCCAAGAATAGAGTGAAGATTAAGAATGCTTTGTTCCTCTTCAGGCGAGAACTTGCCACGCTTGATGTCTGGCCTTAAATAGTTTGTCCATCTTAATCTGCAGCTCTTGCCACATCTATTTAATCCTGTATGTAAAAACAACAGGTTCTTTCAAAGGGTTGAGATGGAAGAATAGAATTGAAGAGAAGGTATAGAGAGAGAGAGAGAGAGTACCAGCAAGCTTGGGGAGTGCTCTCCAGCTTCCATGGCCGTGCTTCTGGATATAAAGAACTAATTTATGATCTTCCTCAGGAGTCCAAGGTCCTTTCTTGAGGCCGTTCTCATCGCAGCAGGGAGACCTTCCCATGGAGGAGAGGGCAACGAAGGTGGATTGAGTCGGCTAGCTTCCCCTGCCTTCTTCCCTTTAAAAACCAAAGCCTTGCAGATTTATATTTATACACCTTGGGGCTTGGCCAGTTTTGTTATTTTTGCTTCAGGAGAAAAGGGCAAGCCCTGCCTAGCAGTTATATATAACTTCAAACGCCTATTAATATTCCTTCACTCCATGAAGTTACGCACAACATTATAATATTTGGAAAAAAAAAATTAGTGCTAAGGAACTCTAGAAAGATAAATTATATAAGCCAATCATTTTGTACTTTAAAAAAAATCTCAAACTTATTATTTTTCTGAAGTATAAATTAAGCAATCTTATTGTATGGATAGAATATTCATTCTTTTAGCATATAATTTACACATTTTTATCGAATTTGTTTGCATGGGAGCTCCTGATTGAAAATTACTCTTCATATATGTCTTCATGATGGTAGCCAGTTGGCTGTGTGCTGTAACAAATTATGATTATTAATCTATTCATAAATATAATTCTAAAAAAAATTTCAAGTCAACATATTTTCAGCATTTATTTAGGCCTAACAAATCCTAAAATACTAAGCTCCTCTTTTATATAACTAGCATGTCAAATTGATATATTATAATTTCTAAAGCTACAAAATCTATGATGCACTAATATTTTATAATAGTGAAGAATATAATATCTGTCACATGTAAAAAATAATAATAAAAAAATATAAATATAAAATAATAATAATAATAATAATATCGATCACTGATAAGACACATACATTTATATAAAAAGTCCTGTGACGTCTACGAAATATCTCATCTATATGTCAAATTAAAAGAATATAAGAAATTGATAGACAAGCATGGCCAATATATGCGCCATGAATTATAAATTTTAATTACTTTAAAAGTATATTATACAACTAACTTAATAGCTACTTGAGGCATCTTTTTTCTTAACACACTCTATTTTCTATTATTTTTATTATTTAAATTTTATTCTCTTACAAAATAATCATTTTTTCAGCTTAGTTTAAAGATATATACTATCATGACTATTTTTTCTTGAATTTAGTTAAAAAATTTAGAAAATGCAAATATGTTTCTTATTTATTGAAAAGTTGAAATGAATTTATTATTATATTCATTTAATTATATAATTACTTTATATAATTTGGGTGATTTACATACATATCACTTTATTTCATGCTATTTGCATATATAACATCTAAAATTTTAATATTATATGTTTATCACCCATAAAAAAATATGAGTGTATGGAATGAAATATTAAAATTCATAGGGTGGTATAAGTTGTAAGAATGAAATGTTTAGTGATATATTTGATATTAAAATTTTATGAGTCATAATAATGTAATATTAAAATTTTGGGTGCTAAATATGTAAATTACATGAAATAAAGTTGTATGTATGTAAATCTTAGTAATTTGTAACATATAAGATTATAATTATGTGGTCTCCATGAGCTTTGAATAATATGCGTGTTTCGTGTCCATATTCGTGTCGGCATATCACGTCTGTATCCCTGCTCAAATTAGTATCTACTCTAATAATAATTTATCCCTCCAAAAACTTAAAATAAACACATAAGCCAAATAAAATCATAAATAAATAGCATATTGAAAAATATGATTTTGTCTTATTTATTGACATGTTATTAAATGTTAGGCTACATAAACATCACTCCATCTATCAAATAATTAAATGATTTTTATAATCTTGAGCAATAATTATAAATTCTTCCCTCACGTATGATGAATTATGCCTCGCACCCGCATGGGCGAAACCAGACGGGCTCGTACAAAAGTCGCAAGTAATTCAATAAGAGCCACATAATTATGCATAAAATATTAATTTATTCCCTTGCAGGAACTTAGGAATTTTATGCAATACGGTTGCTGGATCTACACACAATTTATTGGACAAGAATTTTCCTTTGTTTTCCGAAGCACGCCAAGATGAAACAAATGATGCTGTAACAGTGATTTTCGGATTGTTAATTTTGATCTAATGATGTTTATTAACAAAAAAAAATGGAATGAAGAAAGCCCTAGCTAGAATTGCAATTAGTATTAATTAAGAGCTATTTAGATTGACTTAAAGGAGTATAAAGTATTCAAAATCAAGCGGTTTTATAAATATTGGAATTTGGTCTAAAGTAAAAAAAAATTGAGAGCAAATTTTGAAGTATTTGGAATGCATTTAGTTTAATTTTTGCTTATTTGAAAATTATTAGTTTTGATTGATTTCTAAATATACTATAAATTCTCTGTTGTTGCCGCATCCGCCCCCAATCACCACCTTATGTCGCCAATAGTCATCATCACCTTGTTGGCTATCACCAACCTTTGCTGCCTCTAGACACCACGACACCACCACTTGCCACCACAGCCGGCCACCGCATGCCGTTGTCTTAGCTCACAACACACCCACCGGCTAACTTCAACCAACTATTATTATCTTTCTATTTTACATTATATTCATTGTACTTTACACTAAATAAAAAAAATAATCACAAGCATTTATTTTACAATAATGTAAAGTGCTTTAAATATTTTAAATATATTATATTTCTTTAACATTGCTCAATTTTACTATTGCAATCCCTTTTTGGCAAACCTAAATCTTTAAGATATATCATTGAATGAACGATATGTCGGATCTAATCCACATTAATAGTACATTGATTTTCGCTAGCGAGCTCCTCCGTTTCGCTCTGTTAGGGTTTTTGCCCTAGCCGCCGCTGGAAGTGGTTTCGCTCCGCCTCCTTCGTGCTGAGGAGAGTTTTTTGTCTTGTCTCCGTCCATTTTTTCACATGGTTGTTTTTGTTTGGTTTGGTTTTTCTTTCTTGTCCCTTCTCTGGTGCTATGGCAAATTCTGTGAAGCATTTAGATCATGGTTTTCTTGACTGTAAGAATCGCTCCAAATCTTTCAATGAGATTTTGTCTGGCTCTGATGCGTCTAAGGCATTTCTGGATCTACAAGTCACTGTGATTCGGGGTTTGCCGGCTTTATGGATATCAAAGGATGAAGTTCTTCATCTTGTTAAGCATTTTTTATTTCGCTTTACTGGGAAAATTTCCGTTGCGGCGTCCGGCTTTAGACTCGATAGGAGGTTTTTTCTCAACCTTAAATTATCGGGTGAGTTTTCTGTTACTCTTTTGGATCATAGCAATATCTTGATCAATCTTTCTAATGATCTTGACTATGGTAGGATTTTTGCACATATATCATATTTTATTTTTGGTTGTTCTATGAAAGTGATAAATGGACGTCATTCCTTGACCTATCGAAGGAGTCTCCGATCGTCTTTGTTTGGATTTCCTTTCTAAAGCTTCGCCTACACCTATTTTCTTCTCACATGTTATTTGGTTTGGGGTCATTATTTGGTCGTCCACTTCATACAGACAAAAAAACTGTTGAGGGTTCGAGACCATCCATATGTGAGACCTCGTTCCCTATATTGATGTTTTAAATTTTATAGATGTTTGATAGACTGCTTAATTGAAGGTTTTAGATAACTCTGGTAAATTGTTTGAGTAATTGATCGACATTCTTTCCAAGTTTGATCTTGGGGCATCACACCATATCTCGTATCCTTATGGAAATGGACATTTCTAAAACTTATTCTTCTTCAATTTGTCTTGGTCCTGAGAAATTAGGCTACATTCAGAGAGTTATTTTATAAAGTTTTACTAGTTATTGTCTTCATTGCAAAGTTGTAGGTCATAAGAGGTCTGAATGTGTTAAGTTTATTCCTCATTTGAGGCAGGATGAAACTTCTGTTCAGCCACCTATGGTTTCTGGACATGTTCCCATTGTGGACCCTCCTTCTTTGGCTCTAAATAATCTCTCTGTTCCTGTGAATTTCCTTCCCCCTACCTAGGGCTGCAAACAAACCGAGCCGAGCCGAGTATGTGAGTGTTCATTTAATATTAGCTTGTTCAAGTTTGGTTCATATTTGTTCAAGCTTTATTGTTTTGTTCATGTTTGATTCATTTAAATTAATGAGTGTTCATGTTCAGTTCATGTTAGATCGTTTAGTGCTTATCGAGCTTTAAACAAATAAACATGAACGAGTTATAAACGAGCTCTACTTTTAGATGTTCATTCAATTAACAAATGAGCTTTATCGAGCTTCCTAACAAATGATTACATCGAGCATGTTCGTGAACATATCTAACAAATTTTTTAACTATCAAACAAATACGTTCATGAACATATATATGAACAAACACGTTTATAATAAAAGCAATTGTCCATGAACATAAAAGTAGCATTAATAAAGACAATAATTTATAAATAAATAGCCATATTGAGCTTTTATCGAGCTTAATGTCGAGCTTGTTCACGAACTTTAAATGATGTTGTTCGCGAACATAAATGAGCCGAACGCATTAGTGTTCAAGCTTGTTTATTTAATAATCGAGTATTTAAAACATTGTTCAAGTGTGTTTGTTTAGTTAATTAAACGATCATGAACGAGCTTTAATCAAACCGAACATCGAGTAGCTCATTGAACGTTTGGTTCGCTTGCAGCCCTGCCTCTACCACTGCTGCTTCCGCCCTATCGTTGTGGACCTGGCTCCATAGCGTGTGTCTTCAGATGTGTGTGTTCAGGAGGAGCTTTTTTTACTGCCCCTAATACCTGTAGGGTGGAGAATGCTAATGCTACTAATGTTTTGATTCCCGTTAAGTTGGTGTTGTAGTTAGGAATGTTGCTGATTGTTTGGGGGTTAATGCTACGACATTGGACTTTGATTTAGCTTTTGGTGATTATGTTCTTGTGGTGAAGGAGCCTGCTCCTTTTGTTGCTCTTTCAGATCTGCCTGAGAATGCTTGTTGTGATGGAGTGAATGGAAATTTGAGTGTTACTTATTGTGGTCTTAATCTTATAGCTAGCCATTTCTGTGAGGATGTTGTGGCAGATTTAGATGATTTATCGGATGAGGTGGCTTCCGGGGTTGGTTTTATCTCTAGTGAGGATCTCCCTGGTTCTCCAATCCATGCGTTGGTTGTTTATGATACTCTATTCCTTTGGAGCTTGTGGCACGAGATGTTGAAAGTTTGGCTGTTAATTTGGCTTCTATTTTACATGTTAATGTTGAGTCGATT